TATGATCAGGAATTGGGTTTTGTTGTAGGGGAAAAACATCATAAAGTTTAGTGAAGCAAAAAGAAAGTTTTATTCGGCGTATATTCAAAAGGGCAGAAGTGGGAAGTGGACAACCATACTGCCAGAGCCATGTCTGCCCAAGTCCAAAGAAATATCACAGAGCAGAAGAAAGTGGGAAAATGGATAAGCGTGCTGGTAGAGCCATGTCTGCCCGAGTCCAAAGAATATTACAGAACAGGCAAGAGTGGGAAAACAGACAAGCATGCTGCCACAGCCATGTCTGCCCGAGTCCAAAAAACCATTACAGAGTCATCAGTGTGTATTAACATTACAAATGGGCAAAACCATTGAAAGCTTAGCCTTTTCAGATTGGCTAGAAACTGTGATCCTACGTTTTGAATTGTCTTTCTTAACAATCATTGGTACAGGTTTCAGTAACGACAGTCAGGAGGGTCTTCATTGGTCCAACAAATTTCTATTCACTAAATGCTAATAGAAAAAGGTAAGAGTGGAAAGTCTTCTGTGTTCTGTTTGATCGGCTCTATGTGAAAGTTTCCCTAAAAGATATTTTCCAAGATTATTTTAGCTATTGTCTTTATACCTCAGGGCCCAGTTGATGTGTCCTTGTGAGCCCTTGTGAACCCAGCTCCAGCTGGATCACATTCTGTATGCTCAAGGACAGGGAATAATGACTGCAATATTATTTCCTAAATCAGTTTGCATATGACGGCTCATGCCCAGCGTAACAACAGTAAACCACAAACCACAATACAAGTGTGCAGTGACATCTCGTCTCTTCATTTCGGCTCCTCAGAGGCCTGCATGATGATCGCTGGGGCACCAGGTCTGGTTTTTGCCAGGTAAGTTGGGCCATAGGATGGATGCACTCCCTCTCCAACATCAGAAAACGTGGTTTTTATTCACCAGATGTAAGGTCTAGTCTCTTCTCTTTGCTGTCCACAGGGTGAGGGTAGGGCCTGGAGCCGTGATCGCTGCTGACTGTATATACAAGGACTCTGGGTCACAAAGCGGTTTATACATTTTTAGGGTCCCTAGAAAGACCAGCCAATTGGTGCATCTCTGCCACACTGAGCAAAAGCTTGGAGGCTAGGGTAAAAAGTCTTAATAACCAATAGGCTCCCTTACCACCTCTCCATGCAAATTCTCTAGGAATATTTTGGATTTCTAGCTGCATAAAGTCACAGCTCTCAGTTTCTTTTTGCTCGATTACCTGGTGTATGGATCTCCTGGGTGCTCAGGGAGGAGATTTCAGGAGTCTGGCTGTTGGGGGCCGGCCTCATAGGTGGCCGCCTCCTCCGTCACGGAGTACCAGTCAGTCTCCCTGGGGTCAGGGTGCACATCCAGTAAGGCCATTTTGTCTGTGGATTGGGTGGGGGCCATCAAGCCCTGTGATCGCGGGAGTAGCCCTTTGGTATCCTGGCAAGCCCCGGCAGCAAGCCCCGACAGGAAGCCCCAGCAAAGCCCCAGCAGGAAGCCCCAGCAGGAGGTGTAGCTCAGGCCCTTTGTCCAGGGGTCTTACATGAGAAGTGGAGCTGAGTTACCTCCACATGTAGGCTGGGAGTGGCTGGCGCACACGCTTTCCTTTTCTCATCAGCCCTGGGCCGTGGGCCACATGGATATGCGCCTCACCTTGGGGTTACAGGAGGGCGAGACAACAGCAAGGGAAGCAGCAGCCCCAGCGATGGCAGAGCCTGAACGACTCTTGTTAGACAGCCAGGTGCCACGCTGAGTGTCCCCCAACAGCTGCTTTCCTTCCTTTCTACGAGCCTCACAAAGGGCCACCCCTGAGCCAGTCCTGGGGGTGCACAGTCACAAACAACGTCCTTACAGCTTGCCCAGGCAGCCAGTGACGGTCCAGGCTAGACACAGTGACCAATAGGCCTAACCTGAGGGTCAGCAGGCTAGACACAGTGACCAA